TGGAGGTGCAGTACAGGCACAGAGTTTCATGGCTTCCGAGGTGCTCTCTAAAGCTGGCCATGCACTTTACAACCATCGCACAACTTTTGTCTTGCGAGGGTTGTAAAGTAATTAAAAGCTCGTACGATCTGCCCATCTTGGACAAGGAGATCATACTTGCGATCATCGCAAGCCCGCCCCGCTGAGGGGAGGGCTTCCGATGACTGCAATGCTGGACGGGAAGTGTGCGCTTGCGCACACCGGCCCGTTCTGCATTTGTCTCCCGAGAACGTCACTAACCCGCCAACAATCGTACGATTCTCGGCGGGTTTTCAAGCCTGCTCGGGAGACAAAGGACGTGCGACCGTACAGTAGAAACGGTCGCACGCCTTTCATACACCTGCCAATTATCGTATGATCGCGGGATTTTCCGCGATTATGGTACGATAATCGGCAGGTGTATGGGCACCTTAAGAAAGCTAAAAATTTGAGTGCTGCCATTTGGGGGCATCTGCTGATTTTTTGCTTTAAAGCATACCTTGATTCTGCGTATAGTTGCCTTTATACGAGGGTGAATAAAAAAGTAATGCCTCCATGTCTGTACTTTGAGATCTATTAGAGTGACTGTGAATGTTTAGTGTCATGTTATAGAGGGGTCCTTACCGCACTAATGTATGCTTTTCTTTTTCAGACTGATTGATTAGAACCATGGATCTGCGGCTAAAACAACAAGCTGTAATTAAATTTTTGGCAAAAGAGGGCTGTGCACCTAAGGAAATCCATAATAGGCTAAAGAATGTTTATGGGACGCTGTAGTGGTCATTAGCAATGTGCAGTGTTGGGTCCAGAAGTTTCAAGTAGGGATGCACAGATACTTTTCGAGTACCAGTGCAGATACTTGGAATTTTCATGAGAACTACCAGGGTTGCAGCGGTTGCAGCTGGGACCTGGCTCTGGTGCTCCACCACTGTCCTGAAATTAATTAGTCTGTATTGTTTTAGAAAAACTGTCACATGACAATAAACAAAAATGTATCAGGACTCGTACTTGTAAGTACTCGGCAAGTACCAGTACTCGTACTCGCAAAACTGGTATCTGTGCATCAATTTATTTATATGTATAAAAACAAAATCGTACATTAAAACAGAGATGTACAAATCCCAGGAGCTCCGTGTGCTCCTTACAAAAGGCAGCTGCCTCCTAATTTTTTTATTTTTCTCTAGTCTAGTCTTGGAGCTCAAAATTATCGGTACATTATCGGTACATGTACTCGTACTTGTACCGAGTACTGTACTTGGTATCGGTGCAACCCTAGTTTCAAGAACAGAAACCGAAATTGCACACATTCAATGTATCAGCAACATGCTGAAATGTGATGCGTCTGTCTCCTCGAATCAACTCATCAGCATCAGTTGGTCCTCATTGCTAATTGATGTTGACAGACAGCCACTCTTCGGCTTATCTGCAATTTTGGTTTCTCCTTCTTAAACTTCTCCACCCAACGCCGCACATTGTTAATGTCCACTACAGCATCCTCATAAACGTTCTTTAGACAATTATGGATTACTTTAGGTGCGCAACCATCTTTTGCCAGAAATTAAATTACAGCTTGGTGTCTTAGCTGCATATTCATGGTTCTAATCACTCAGTCTAAAAAATAAAGACATACATTAGTGGGGTAAGGATACCTCTATAATATGGTACATGAACATTCACAGTCACTCTAATAGATCTCAGATTACAGACATGGAGGCACCACTTTATGATGAACCCTCGTATATGTAGATGGGAGCATTTTTTCATTATATACTGTATAAAGCCTCTTCTTCCTGCATAGTAATTCTTGCTCCATGTTACATTTGGTCCAATTAAACTTAAAGTCCATTTCCACCTTTGCAAGTGATTAGCAATTATTATGGTAATGATGATGTATATGTGTGTACATTTTCATGACATTTTCCTCAATTTTTTTATGGACTTTTTATTAGGCTTGAGTCCTACAATGTGAAAATTTTCTCCACAGGAAATTCAATCTGATACCGGGGTCGGATTGTAAAGCAGCTGACCCCCTCCCTGTGAGCGTTGTAACAAGATCACTGCACACCAGCTTTGCCTTTCCAGGTTACTCTTCAGGGAGGGTTGAATACTAATGATTTGGGGGGAGAGCTCAGAGAGAGAATGTTAATTTACACAGACTACTTGCAAAGCACAGAGGCGGCCCTTTCAAAACTAGCTATGATGAGATGAAGATTACAAAGAAAAGGTAAGTTTTTGTGTTCATATACATACAACTGCGTATTCCTGCTTCATGTACACTCGGTGCACATTGCTGGCATATGCTTTTTAAAAATACCTCAGCAAAGGTGGAAATGGGCTTTAAAGCTAAAGCCTTAGTACTACTCTCAAGATCCAGGAGTTATGCAAATAGCAAAGTGTCTTAATGGGAGGGTCCCATTAATATTAACAGTCTGGATGATGGGCATTCATAGGTAGGCTGCATGGCTAGGACATCCTACAACCAGAAAGTGAGGTGGTCTCTATCTCATTTGCTGAAGCTTCTAGTTCAAACTGTAGGAAGCTCACAGTGTGCAGGGAAATTAGAGTTAGCAGTTTCAGTTTAGGAGAGGAGCCTGTACATCTGTTCAAGGTAAGGCTGGAGTTCAGCTTTATCAGACATTATTTGCTCTCTAATGTTGTAAAGTGACTGTAAAGCTAATAAGGGCTCTATTGATTCCTGAGAAGCGTGTGTTTTAGTGATGGGTAGACTATAGCTATGGGGATGAGTTTAACTTACTCACCCCATAGCTCTCCTTTAAAGCCCATTTTCACTTTTGCAGAGATATTTAAAAAAAACAAAAAAAAAACATGCTATCAATGTGCACTCAGTGTAAATAAACTAGGCGTATGCAGTTGCTGTATATGAACACATACACTTACTTTCAGTGTCCTCTTCATCTCCTCCTTCAGCTTCTTTTGAAATGGCCCTCTCAGTGCTCTAAAAGCAGTCTGTGTAAATTAACACTCTCTCTCTCTGAGCTTTCCCCCCATTCATTAGTATTCATAGTGGCAACCCCCCTGCACAGTGTATTGTGACCTGGAAAGGCAGAGCTGTTGTGCAGTGTTCTTGTTACAATGACAGAGAGAGGGTCAGCTGCTTTACCATCTGATCCCGGTGTCAGACTTAGTTTCCTGTGGAAAAAATTATCAAATTGTAGGATTCAAGCCTGATAAAAAGTCCATAAAAAATTAAGAAAGCCAGCAATGTGAGTCCTAAAAATATGTAAACATATCCAAAATCACTGCACCTCTACATTACCACAATAAGTGCTAATCACTTACAAAGGTGAAGAAACTCTGCATTGGCCTGTAGAGCCTTATTAACAGAATGATGCCTCTCTGGGTCATGCTTATTAAGTGGTTTTCAGAACAAATCTCATCCCTTTGTCATGAAACTATATCACATGTTGCCAACTAGAGCTCTTGCAGCAATCCGTCCCTCTAGGCTGCATTTTTGGAATTGGAAGCAGGGCAGGGGGATTATGTCCCCTGATTTTAGCTGAAAATGTCATGGTACTTTTACAGTTCTTTATATAGATAATTTTTTTTCTCCCGTGGTTACTCAATTGAGCTATGTATTTTGTTTTGAGTTGAATTCCGTTTTAAGGTAGCTCTGTAAATTTAATAAGAAACAAAAAAAATAAGCAGCTGGCAGATACAAATTGCAGGTGCCTAGAGGTGTCTACATTTACCTGTAGTACAGGTGAAACTCGAATAATTAGAATATCGTGCAAAAGTAATTGCAGTAAGTGCTGTAAAAGGGGCCCAAACCAAGTACTGAGTACATATGCATGCTTGTACTTTTCAGAGGTCCGATATTGTTCTATGTACAATCCTTGTTTTATTGATTGCATGTAATAATCTACTTTTTTGAGGTCGTGTATTTGGGGTTCTTGGGGTTTTCATGAGCTGTAAGCCATAATCATCACAATTATGACAAATCACGGCTTGAATTATCTTGCTTTGCATGTAATGAGTCTATCTCATATATTAGTTTCACCTTTTAAGTTGCATTAGTGAAATAAATGAACTTTGCACGATATTCTAATTATTCGAGTTTCACCTGTATATTATTGCCCCATCTCTGCCTGAATGCTGTGCTATAGCATTTCTGGGGAAAGGTTCAGCACTCGTTCCTTTCACAAACTCTTTAGAGCAGAACTTACCTCCCCTTGCTCCCTCATCAGTGACAACATCTTCTTCCTGGCTTTTTCCAGGTGCCAGGTCTTCAACCATCTTGATTGATCATGTGGAATGAATGAACTCCTGCACATGCACACAGGATTTCTGATTGATCTGATGAATGGCAGGCATCTGTCTCTGAGCAATTAAATAGTCACTATCCAGTTGATGATGTCAGTCGGTTGCAATGTTTTCTTTTACTGGTTAGATCAGTAAAAATTGGAGCTTCAGAGTGGATAGCTAAGTCTGTGCTCTGTAACTTTGTTGCAGAAAAGCTCTGGATGTGTAGATGTTTGATATAAGTATAATAAGTGTCATACACACAGGTCCAAGCTTTAGTTATCTAAAATTTGGTTCTCCAGCAGCAAACTGGTGAGTCTGGACTGGTACAGAAATTGTTTCATATTGAAATGATACAGCTTTCTAATCATCCAAATCATCCCTTCTGTTGTCTCCAAATGGTCCTGTCACAGGCAGAGCCATACATGATTTAGAGGAAGGCACATTTGGGGAATTATGTAGCACTGCACATTGCATCTGAAGAGTGAGCAGTGTTTTATTTCTCTGTTTTGTTTTGAAATACCTCAAGCAATGCATCTCAAATAAGAATGGTTTGTTTTGCTACCTAGCAATGGAAATCGATGGTTGGTAAATGAACATTTTATTCTGATTGGGTGTTATTGGGTAAATCAGACAGTTCTGTATTCAGATTTAATAACTGTGGTCTATTCTGACATTATGGAAAATTCTGTTTAGTAACTGCTTGTCTTTTGTCTTTACAGAGTCAGGCTGAGGCACATTATAAAGGGAACCGACATGCTCGGAGAGTGAAGGGAATCGAGAATGCAAAGACCAGACAGAAGGAGGGAGCCCAAGATGGAGACAGAAACACCCTTCTAATCAGCCCTGTGCCCAGTGTCAGTGAGAGTGACACAGACCTCAAAGGTGACTGTGCAAGATGTAACTGGAGATTTTCTTTCTTAACTCATCCATGTCAAAAGATATTTTGTTATCATACTTGCCTGCCAGTGTAACGTGCACGTGCTTCATGTAATGCCATCACCTTTAATTGTCAAACGGTTTACCCAGTTTTATGGTGAGGTGTTTAAACCACCTCCTCAGGGGTGTCCAGATAACGGATCATCGGATAATTAAAGCTCAACTCCAGCCAAAACCATTTTTTTAAATTATCTGTCAAACCTTTGTTGATGTCTGTGACCCTGTAAAGGAGATTTAATCTAATTTCCTGTCCTTCTGACAGCAGGAAAAGAAATAAGTGGAGCAATCATCAGCAGGACAGTATAGTAATACTAACTGGACAGACGTCCAGACCCTTCCCTATTTTACTGAAGAAAAAAAAAATTGTTATAGTAGATGTCTCCATCCCAGAGATTCACTACTACTTCCTGTCCTGACTTAAAGGGGAATCTCCCCAAGGGGAACACAGACCACAATAAAAACAGGTGTTTAAATACCTTTCCTATTCCGTCAAAAGTAATTAATTATGTTCATGGTCACTTTCTGTTTATTATAATACTTTTTCAATAATTTCACAAACCTGCCCTGTTTCAAGTACTGTGTCTGTGGCTCAACAGCTGTGTGTACAGATTGTATATGACAGCTAGCAAGTTTTTCTGGTTTTCTAGAATTGATCTCCTGGGCTTACCTAGAGCATGGCATCAGCCAAGCATAAAATGGAGGCATGGCACATGCTGTAAGCATTCTTATAAATATTTGTCTATGATATCCCATCATCTATTCACTTAAGTCTCTCTATTTCCTGAAGGGTATAGCAAGTTGTTGCTGGCTTTCTGATGAAAACTGCAGTACACTCGTTTCTAGGTGATTCAGCACTTTGGAAAGTTTTGTTCTTTTCATGACAGCTTGGTGTTCCCTGTGCCAATTCGCTGTTAAAGTAATTCACAGCAGACATTACGGCGAATGTACCACTATGATCACAGTTTTCTGTTTGGTGGAAAACCTTTACAGAAGATGTAGGCTGTTATACCAACAAAGGGGGGGGAATGGGGTGGGTTCGCAACTCTGTAATAATGCCCCTGATTTTGGAATAGGATCTAAAAAAAAATGTGTTTAGGTGTGATGGTCAGGTGTCCACAAACTTTTGGCCACATAGTATATTTTGCAACCATTTGTCAGACATGTAGTGATGGGCAGCATCAACAAGAGACATTAATTGGAGTTTTCATCATTTTACATGGAAGCTTTTCACATTTACATCTAACTTTACTGATACATACCAATGAAAATGCTGATAATCAGTTTCCATCTTCCTCTTATTAAACCTACACAGTCTTACTGTACATTGTCAGGTATGTCAGGGTCATTCAAGAAGTAAAATATATGATCATTTGTGGTAAATGAGTAACCTTCCACAGAGTCCTAATTTGAAGGGCGTGTAATACTGGATTTAATCGCAAGCTTAGTTCTTGCTGTGGAATTGATTTAAATGGAAACACTGTACCACATATCAGCAATTACAGCTCTTAAGTCTTTTGGGCAAATTGTGACTCTAGACAGTCACAACGCACTATTGTCTGATTTTCTCTGTACAAACACTGGATGGGACAGGAATATTATGTTTGCTTTTTGTAACTGCCAAAGGATTTGTAATTCTGTACAGCTAATCTTATAATTTACACACATCTGCCACACATTGCACAGCTAGGAAGGTGACCTATGTATTTCAGGGTTCACCATTCATTGCTGCTTCCTATGCCACCTCAAAATGTTTATGTTTGATTTTCATTTTTATTTCACATTTGATTCTGGAATGAATGGAGGTTTTCCGAACGAAAACCACATTCACTGTTAGAATTTCGTTCAATCGAGGAAAAATTTCCAACAGGCACCTTTGAATTTTTTCGTCACTGTGGTTGATTGATTTTGGAACATTCTTTTGACTTTCTAATCGTTGATGTGGTAAAAATGATGATTGATTCAATCATCATTTTGACCACATCAACGATTAGAAAGTCAAAAGAATGTTCCAAAATCAATTTTATTCGTTTGAAATTCTAACCATGCATACCCTACCTAAATGAGAAGACACATAATTACAAATCCTTCATTAGGATTAGTTGGACAATAATTAGCTGTGTGTCTGCATTTAGCAGCAGCAGCAGCATTGTCAGCTCCCCATGCACACGCCTTCATTTGGCCATTGGGCTGTAGGAGGCATACGCAAAAAACTCTATACAGTGAGGCATGATGCCAGACATATTGGAAAATAGAATTTGGTTTTGGATACAATTTAATGTTTTATTAAATGTACAGACCTCCATTAATTTGCACCTTTTATATTGCACTGGAGTTCAACTTTATTGTTATATTAAAGCTTAATTTGTTTTTTTAATTTATATAAATAGGAGGCCCATATTTTTTATAAATCATTTGTTGTTTAACATTAAAAATGTTCAGTTCCTCGTTCTCTAGTGGGTCCCCGCATAGCTCTTCCTCCCTTCCCCTGCACGGGTGTCTCCATCAGCTAAGCTGTTGCTATGGAGGCAGCCGTGTGCGCTCGTTCCCGGCCACGCCCGCAAGTGGCAGTGTGCGTCCATAGACACACACCGCCCTTCAGCAGGCCATGCCCCTTTTCTCCATCCAACAGGTTGCTTGATGGCAGAAGGAGCCTATGGCTTCCCTGCCCTCAATCTCCTCCCCCACAACCAGGAAGTTCTGGAATGGAAGATCGCTTCGGGGACCGGTGGTGGTGACAAGCGGCTCTAACAGGTAAGTGGTGGGTGAGACTGGGAACACAGTAAGGTACTGGGCATTTTTTGAACTTTAATTTATTATTGTAAAATTCCAGCCTTTAGATTGTAAGCCCTCACAGTCAGGGCCCCCTAACCATCTTCTCTTGATTTGTATTGCAACTCTAATATCTTCCTTAAAGCACTGCACAAACTGTTGGTGCTTTATAAATCCTGTATAATAATAATAATAGTACATATGCCAATAGTGATTAACAAGGAATTTCTTGAAATAGTTTGTAAACATCCATAAGAGAGTAAAAATAAGATAATATGACGTTGCTATATTTATATAGTAGAGAGGGATAGGAATCAGTTACAGAACCTGGTGCACTCACCATGCATTCTTTAAATTATATTTATATTTCTCTGCCATTGTAAGTATCTTGGCAGCTGGAAATAAATAAATGGCTCCCGCAGCTCAAGTGTAGTTAGACGGCTCTTTTTTCTTGTGCGGTTAGCCATTTAATTGACAAATGACCACTAATTAAACATCAGATCCGTCAGGGCATATGAAAGATGATATATTTGCTTGCAGGTAATGCCTGCCATCATCTACTCCTAGCAGGAAGTTATTTAATTTACACTCATCACAGAGCAGAGGGATTCATCATTCTGACACTTGAATAGATAGGATTTTTCTCAGCACTGTGGATTTCCCTACCTGAGGATTTACATACATTAGACCATGTTGTGTTATTTGTCTTTGTGACAGGTCCTCATGTACTCAATGTTTTACCTGTCTGTACTCCTCTTTAATCAATGTGCATTAAAGTGGCGGCTGATAGATCCGTGGTGCCCATTCTTTGTTAAAAAAGAGAACTTACTTGTCAATGTGACACTTTCCTGAGACTCCAACTGGCAATCTGCCATTGCTATAGGCCTTAAAAATACAAAATCCCAGCCAAAAAAAAATCCTAAAACACCAGCATTACTAGGCTGGATGAGCTTATTATTCACCATGTTTGCTGTGTGGAGCCTCTTGATGGGGAGACACCAACCCACTAATATAAATCATTATAACATGAAGTGGCACAACTTCCCACAGATACTAAATCTTGTAGAAAGTCTATCCAAAGAAGTTGGGACTGTTACAGCCTAATGGGAACGGGGGTGGCACAACTTCAAATAAATGTCCATGGTTCCGGAAAGGGATGTTCAACGAAGTCTTATAGGTGTAATGCTCAGGTTTCCACTAAAGTTTGGCCATATAGTATAGCTAGTTGTGCCCCTCTTTCTCGATGCAAGGTTATTTCTTTCTGTGTTAGGTGAAATCCAAAAAAGGTCCATACACACTTCACCATATAACGCTCTATGTGCGGTATGTTGCAGTGCGATTTATGGTGAATGGCACTCCAACATAGTGTACAGTAGAGGTCAACACATCGCAATCCACTTTAATGCACATGCCTTCCATTTTGATGTGCTGAGCTGCATAAAAGTGTCAAGAATGGGCTACCTTAACACATCACACATTAATGCATGACAGTGCACTACAAAGGACTACAGTAGCCTGAATGGGCCCAGATGTAACACCTACAATTCTTTATGTAAATTTATCTTTTATGTTTGTCCACTGTCTTTAGGAAACACGTGATTAATGTTTTTGTTTCTGTGTGTGGGCACTCCCCCTTAGCATTATGTAACTGAATAGGAATAAATTGGAAAAAAAAAGTAGGGATGCACCGATACCAAGTACAGTACACGGTACAAGTATAAGTACCGATACATTTCGAGCTCCTAGACTAGAGAAAAATTCAAAAGTTAGGAGACAGCTGTCATTTGTAAGGAGCACACGGAGCTCCTGGGATTTCTACATCTCTGTTTTATTGTATGATTTTGTTTTTATAAATATAAATAAAGGGATGCACAGATACCAGTTTTGCGAGTACTGGTACTTGCCCAAGTACTTACGAGTACTGATACATTTTTGTTTATTGTCATGTGACAGTTTTTCTAAAACAATACAGACTAATGATTTCAGGACAGTGGTGTAGTGCCAGAGCCAGGTCCCAGCTGCAAACGCTGCAACCCTGGTAGTTCTCATGAAAATGCCAAGTATCGGCATTGGTACTCGAAAAGTATCGGTGCATCCCTAAAAAAAAGCTTAGGTCCTTCAATCTTTGACTTACAAATATGTGGAATATGAACTATTGTCAGTGGTTTGATTTTTGT